TGCGGGCTTCTTGAGAGATTAAGACACCACTGGAGAACGCAAACTTAAGATACTGCCTCCCTGGCAGCGAACGAGAAATCCCGGGGTTTGTTTCTCTGATTATTGTCTAAACTGATTACAGAGATTTAGCGGTATCAAAAAAGTGCTGTAAAGAAACCTTCAGCCTTATCTTCACACATTTCATATGGGGTCAGCAGGGCGCAGCTGCCGAACTCAGTTGCGCGTGAAAGAAATGGATGTGTATTAATATAAAAACATGATGCAGAGTGAAGGGGATTTGCCTGGGTGGAAGATTTAAGGTTGTGGCCTCATTGGTGGCTTGAACAAAGCAGAGCGTGGCTGAACCTGGCTTCTTTTGGGTTGTGAAGCAGGCGTTCTGAAAGACGTGAGCACAATGGCGGCGTGCGCACCTTGGTCTCTTTTGCACTTGCCCAGTCTCTTTCTCTTCTGTCTGTGTCACACATCTACAATGGGGCAGAGCTTCTTTGTCAGCACGTCTGCCTTTTTTATGGGGACCTTTGCCTGGACCAGACACTATAATAAATGTTTTTTTATCTGATTGTTTTGCAGGCCCTTTGTTGTCAGTGGGATGACGGTTCTTTGCTTGCATGATGAGAAAATGTGGAATGACATCCACAAAGCAAGAAGAACTTAAAAAAAAAAAATAAGAGGGATAGAGTCAAAAATAAAAAATAAAAAAGAGAGAAGCTAAGCCTCATTCCTGTCAGAGAGAGAAAGAAAGCAAGCGAGAGAGAGCGTTCTTACAAATCCCTATACATGTGTATGTGCCCTTATAATTACGTCCTCCACTTGGTTCAATCGTAACTGAACTTTGAACTTTTGAACTTGAGTTCATTTCCAATAAATATCTTATTAAATACTGAGTCAATAGAACAGATTTCATATTTACTATCAAGGAATATAGAACAGCATATTCTCATTCTATCATAAACGAGACCATGCTCATTTCTTTCATGTGCGGTCAGTCTGAATCCTGAGTGTTACCACTGGGACATTTACACTCATCTGGCTGTCTTTCCTATTTTGAGACGTGACATTTCCTTGAGGCAGTGTGAATGATGTCAAGGTAGAGCAGCAGTGGTTGTGGCCTCATTGGTGGCTTGAACAAAGCAGAGCGTGGCTGAACCTGGCTTCTTTTGGGTTGTGAAGCAGGCGTTCTGAAAGACGTGAGCACAATGGCGGCGTGCGCACCTTGGTCTCTTTTGCACTTGCCCAGTCTCTTTCTCTTCTGTCTGTGTCACACATCTACAATGGGGCAGAGCTTCTTTGTCAGCACGTCTGCCTTTTTTATGGGGACCTTTGCCTGGACCAGACACTATAATAAATGTTTTTTTATCTGATTGTTTTGCAGGCCCTTTGTTGTCAGTGGGATGACGGTTCTTTGCTTGCATGATGAGAAAATGTGGAATGACATCCACAAAGCAAGAAGAACTTAAAAAAAAAAAATAAGAGGGATAGAGTCAAAAATAAAAAACAAAAGAGAGAGAAGCTAAGCCTCATTCCTGTCAGAGAGAGAAAGAAAGCAAGCGAGAGAGCGTCTGAGCGAGGCATTGCATTTTTCTCCAGACAATGGAAAGTAAGTGTTTGAGTGCTTGGCTATGCAGGCAAGCGTTAGATGAGAGGCTTCACACGCCTACTGTATGGATGCTACACCCTGGCAAGCCTGCTGGGGTTTACAGATCTGTGCATCGCTTGTATGATCCGATGGAGCAAGGGGAGTACTGTATGTGTAGGATGGAGCACACTGAACCAATCAGCTCTAACAGAGATATAGGTGATTGTTTCGTAAAACTTGCTGCCCTCACGGAGACATCGTTTACATTACACGTCAAATTCAGAGGAATACAGCATTTTGTTCTTTGATGGCACTTACACTAGAGTTTATGCTGAGTCACAGAATGCTTTTATTTTAATGCAAATGTGCGTTGTGAGGATGTAGGGGAAGAATACATGGGTTTGTGAAAGTGACACTGTTACAGTATGTAAACACAGGTTGAGAGCAAATATGATGTGCTTTGATCAAGTTTTTTAAATTCTGATTTTATAAGAAGTAGCAAAGAGAGCAGATTCAAGTCAATTGAATTCAAAGAAAATGTCAAATTTACTGTCCCTCCCATAGACGCTGCATTAGAAACACCCTCACATTAGCGTTAACTAGTTTTT